TAATTTTTGAGGAATTTATCGCATGTAATTACTTCTTTTATATTCCCGACGCTTTGAGCACTTTACAGCACTCATAGTCACGGGGGGGGGGAGTGTTTGGCGTTCCAATGTCATAGTTAGCCACGGCTACCTCCAGGTTAAAATTATTAATTTTTGTTCCGATTTACGCAGTATGAACTTATAGTATCTTGAAGTCTTGAAGCTGAATACTTGGGTTGGGATTTAATTTTATTAATTATAGGATCTCAAGCAGATGGTAGCACCAAGCCATCTTCTCTATTGAAATCACGAGGTTTTTTGTTTAAAATTTATAATAGCCTCGCGAATCATCCTTGGAATTAATCGGTGTTCTTTAGTGAGGATTTGCATTCTATCAAATCTGATATACTGACGGGGGCGATCCTGTACGTGTTCACAGACTGCAGACTTCTCGGAGCGTATATTCTTAACATCAGCTATGTATTCTTTAACGCGGGTTTTTATTGATTTTTTTGTTTGTCCTATGTAAGAGAGACCACATTCACAATCAAGCTTGTGACCTGTACTGTACATTCACTACAATCTGATAATTAAATATTTCTTAGGAACTCTCCACCAGAATCTATACAAATCGTCTGAACTGATTTTCGAAACACTTTCTCCACTTTCACACACACACCCTTTCAACGGCCTGCTCGAACGCTTCTCCCGGCGATAAAAACTGTATCCCTTTTAGCAGATATTTTATTTTAGGAAATAAAAAATATCTTTAAACAAAAAGTGAAGGCCTAAATTCAAAGAATTAAAAAAAACACATTCTAAAGCCGTAGAATTGAGTGAGCAGTAGAATTAAATTAAAAAAATACTCTTTTGAGTAGACTAAGACATAGTACATACTCAATGTCGCCTGAGTAGTTTCATTAAAAAATACATCCCCTATATTTTTCCAAACTTAGGGGTGGATTTTTTCCCACATTAATATGGGCCATCCTAAAGTATAGGTAATCTATTTAATAAAAACAGTCTTTAAAATCGGGTTTCAATTGGCGACGATATCGTGGAACATATATACAAAAAAACGTGTAACCAAATTGTAAATCTCTTTTTTTAGAAGTCGGCTAAAATGAAATTACGCAGTGCCAGTCAGGGCTTTGAGGAGGTTGAAGCAAAACCTTAATCAAGATGTCGTCCAGAAAGTGTTTCGTTTTGAACTCCAAATGCATGGGCGCGTGGTCATGATGAAGCAGTAGTCTGCGCACCTCGTGATCGGTTCCGTAATGCTTACAGCAGTGAACACTTCTGGCTATCATTTGCTAGTATACCATTTGTAATAGATGCTCAATTTCGTAAAGGATTTGATACCAGATATTCCGTCAGAGTGAAAAAACTAGCGATCAAAATCCTCCCTGTGTTTCTCGATTGCCGTCCAAAGAAGATTATACTAGCACCTGTTATAATAATGTCCTCCAGACCGAATTTTGGTCACTTCGGCCTTCCTCAAAGGAGACTAGACATCGGCGCAGGACAGGATTATGACCTGCTATAATATTTAATATAATTTACAGGGAGGTTTTCAGTGATATAATTTCTGAATTTAGATACTATTTCAGACCCATAACCATTTTAATATTTTCCATCTCAATTGAATATAATTTAAGTTTATTAACTACATACCGTATAAAGATGCTCAAGGTCGCTCAATGAGCTACGGAGAGGTCTATGTTCGAGGTTTTTCTGTGTGATAAGCTTAAAAATGAGGACATCCGCAGTATTAGTAAGCTGAAGTCGCAATGGGCCGGTCATAGAGCTCAAACACAGAAATCTAAATAATATTATTTACATTTCTGTGAGCTCAAAGAACCGACAACCGATGAGGGAAAATGGTACTGGAGTTCTCCCCACTAGATGGAGTGACGACCTGGTAAGACATGCGGGAAGTCGATGGATGCAGGTGGCTCAAGACCGTGCTTTGTGCCATTCCTTGGGGGAGGCCTATGTTCAGCAGTGGACTTGTGAAGGGCTGTAATGATGACGATGATGATGAATTTTTTTCCTTACACTTCCTTAATATAATCCTTTTCCTTACATACGTTTATATAATGGTTATTATTAATTATAGTTTTAATAAATTTTTGCATTTCATTACATATTTATTTATTTTTATGTATTTCTTGAATGTACTTCCACTGCAAGTAATCCTTTCTGCTGTTCTTGATGCGACAAACTCATAACCAATGAGAAATCATCACCAGTCAAAATCATCACAAGGCTAATTACACGGCGATATGAGCCTGATTCAAATTAAATAATTACATCACGGTAATATTCCACGCGGGACCGCTTTTATGCATAGTGAGGGTACGCAAAACTATCACCTCACGTAAAAATGGTCGAAGGTTTCACAAATGCTTCCCGATTCATTCTGCAATCTGCAGTTGGTTGATTTTCTTCATATTATATAATTCGCCTATTCTCTTTAATGAAATTTTTCACAGCTAGCACGTTTTAATAACGGTAAAGGGCCATCACTTCTTTCATTTCTCGATGTGGCAATCGCATTTTTTTAATTACTTTGTTTTTAGGATGGCGCCGCTGCTCATTTCCTGTTTCAGTTCTCATGACATGGGATGGCATTAGGAAGGCCAGATCGAAAAACCGAAACATCTGGAGAAAATTTGAAAATGTCGGGATTTTGGGTTTGTTGTCGGAAAAATAAAAATGTGAAATAAAAAGTTTATTTTTTAAATTATTGGCTAGAAAAGTACTTGACACTGCTGACTCATAACTAAGTACATGAAAATTTTAAGTTGCCACTTGTATGTGGCATTGGACTTTACTGAGTCCAACAATTTGAACCTATAAGTATTCAGAAAAGTTTTAAAATTCAAACAATTTACTTCAAAATCAAGTCTAATTATCAACTCAGCTTTTATTTAGTCAAAGGCAGCCGTGAAGTAAGTAGAAGCTGTTTGTCTGGAGATTTTAAGTTAAGTCGGGAGTCTGGAGATCATTTAAAATGTTGGTAGAATCCAGACTACTTACGACCATCTGGTAACCCAAGAGAGCATAGTGTATCCTTACGCCGTGATTACCGCAAATTTATCCAGCAATAAACTATCATAAGCATGTAATGATAACAAATGGGTCGGCTCGACCGATGTAGGTTCACGCGCTCACAGAACATCATAGTCAAATAGCTGGTTAATGGTGCTGTGTTTCGTATGGTGAGTGTAGAGGACCGGAAACCCTTTTACTGGTAACAAATCATTCCATCTTAGTCTTCAGGAGGTGACAACGCATTTGCATTATTATTTTTCTCTTCGAGGATAGATGTTTGTCACTCCTATTCTGTAAAAAATATTTATTACAACCTTTCAAGTGAACTGATGAAAATAAGCTTCCACGTGTATCGTCTCAATGGGCGAAAATTCATCATAGTTGCAACGCTTGGCAGGTGCAGGCAAGTGGGTTGCCAACCGTAGTTTTTTAATTATTTTAGTCGTTATCTAGAAGGTGCCCCTGCTACTGGAGAAGGCCTCTGTCATTTCGATCTGTCCTCTCCTCTTACGACATCCACGTGATGATATGGGTAGTGGTTTTTTTTTTCAATATTATATCAACAAAATATTGGTTGAAAATTACTCCCGGTAATAAGCGTTTTTTTTTTGTTTAAAATTCAATTAAAAAAATGTAAAATTTATTGTTATTGTTGCAATCTTTAATATAAGAAGTAATCATGCAAGGTTGCTTGCTGATTTTTTTTAAAGGTAGAGGTATTTTTCAAAGCAACCGTAAATAAAAATTAACTCCTAAAGGTATTATGTATAAATGCAAAAAAGTTTCGACCTATATACATCCCACAGCTGGGCACAGCTCTCCTGTTATTTCTGAGAGGGTTTAGGGCAAGTTACCTGTCTTGACCGGATATTTACATATATATGGTCTGCAGATCAGCGCAATTGAACAAGTGAGTATCACTTCAAACGCATTACTTGTGAAGAATTTAACAATAAAGTTTTTGGAGGAATCAACTTTTTGAAAGCTATTGCTAGTGATCAAAATATTTGTTGGAAAAAAATATATTTGTTTAGAAAATGACGTCTAATTAAAATTTATTGACTCTTATTGCCGATATGACAGGTGAAAACAGGACTTTTTTCCCAAAAAAAAAAACAGGATTTTAAACGACCTGTAACCATATCTACAGTTCCTGGCCCTGGTAACCCTTGCCGCCCAGCCTCCATACGTGAATGCGGACTTCGTATATCTTCGAAATTTTGTTTAACCTCTCAGACATGCTTTTCACTACCCCATACGTGTGACGTCAGAGGCATCAGAGAAACAAACCGGAGATGGGCAGTAGCGGCTTCCTAATAACACGGAATAGAACTAGAAAAGAAAAAAATTCAGTTACCATCACGACTACCGAGCTATGGCAAATATCGTCCATATGATGATGAAACTTATGGGAAGGCCTATGTTCAGCAGAGGACTTTGATTGGCTGTGGTCATTGATTTATAGCTGTGGTGATGAAATATTTGTACAATGTTATCTTTTATGCGATTTTTTATATGTAAACCAGCTGGTAACAAAAAGTTGACTTCAAAAAAGTATTATGTAATGATCCATATTGAATAAAAAATATACTATTCTATTAACGTAGTAAAAAAAAACCAAGTAGCTACTTCAACATATACTTTGTTCCCATTAAGTTTAAGTGAGGCCTTAACGACGTTATAAAAAGAGAGGCCCCCTAGACAGGTTTCTGAAACCACTCAAGATACGTCAGTTAATTGAAGTGGACATCGGAGAGATTTAGTCACCGACATAACTGTCCTGAGAAGCAATTTATTACACACACATATACAAACTATTACTGAGGTCGGTCCCCACCATTCGGAGAGGCGTGTTCAGTTCACGCCCACGTCCCCCGCCTACTTGGAAAACATTTTCTCGTGTTCTTATGTAATATTTTTCCTCAGGGTGGTGGGTGGACGGTTGTTTTAGTGGGAAGGATGCCATGCTGGTGTTATTGAATTTATTGAGGCGGCCATACCAGCACAAGATGGCTGACTACATAGGTACGAACCACTTTATTTACTTGAATGGAGTGAGCTTTATGTGAACGTGGGACGGGTCTAATGGAACCTCTCCAGTTTTTATACGTTGCGAATATCTTTGTAGACATTTAATTGCGCTGTTTTCGCAAGAAGGGAATTAAAGATATCAAAATAGATAGAACGTTCTTGGTGGTAAAACCAGTGATAAATTTAAAAAATGGCTCTATTCTTTTCCATTCTATCATATTTTATATAGTTCTTGCATTCCTGTCTTGTAAAAACTTGCATTTATATGTCACAGAGCCACAATCCATATTACTCGTACGTCCGTATTACGAATGAGTCGGCTCGACCGTGGAAGACCTACGCTCTCAGAAAATACCAACGTAAAATAGCAATGCATAAAATAGCAGCACATTTTTTTTTTTTGATTGACGTACTCACAGTGCACTTGATGGTAAGTGGTTCCTGCAGCCCATGGAAAAAGAACTTCTGCAAAGAACTTCGAATAAAGAAAGCTATTAATGTAGACAGAATACCTCAGAGCTTGTAATTATACTGGTTTAACAATAATAGGTACCATTTGATTGTGGCTCTGCGACATTTATGTAAGTTATATCTTTAATCTAGTAGTTTAATCTATCAAGTATTCTTAACCATTGAGCAGTGGTAGCTTAGATGGTTAGCGCTCGCTGTAAATTTCACAGCACGCTAGCAAGCCGGGTTCGATCCTCGCCAGCACCAATGAAATTGTTAATTGCAATTTTAAGTGCTGATTTACCACGTACTCGGTGGTGAAAGAAAACATCGTGAGAAATCCAGCACGTCTGAGAAATAAGAAAAAAATATTTCGAAAGACATGTGAAGTTCACGAACACGCATTGAGACAGCGCGGCGGACATTTCCTTGTCCTAAAACCCTCTCAGAAATAAGGGGAGGACTGTGCCCAGCAGTGAGACACGTATATAGGCTATAACTTTACTAAATTCCTTTCTTGCTCATATAGCTCCATTAAGTGTTTGACATTTGCAACGTATAAATTTTTTATACCAAAAATATTTGCCATAGTCGCTTCTTAAGAGACCGCGGAACGAAATTTGTTGATGGGTTCTCCAAAACATTACCACATGGCATACCGTTACTTCCATAAAAAATTACAATCGCTTGTCCCAATCTCGCTTGGACCCGTGTACATACCATGGATGAAAATAACCGTAGCGTAGTGATAGTTCAGGAGCTAAGTGCTTGATTGGTCTGCGAAGGTGCTGATGGTAGTAATTATTGCCTCAAGGACACGTTTTTAATAAAGCAAAGCAAGAGAAAAGCTTTGGTTGGGATCCGAATGGAGATCCTGGAATCCCTCGCTTTCGCTGGTGGAGACCATCTAGGAATTTTAGCAATTAAAAGATCTCTTTAAATTTGTCAGTACTACGCAAGCAACTTGGGTTCGATCCCCGCTGGCACTAATGAAATTATTAATTGAAATTTTAAGTGCTGATTTACCACGAATTTTGTGGTCATGGGAATCACCGTGAAGAAACATGTATCTCTAAGGAAATAAAAAAAACAATTCTAAGACGTGAAGTCCGGCAACATACATTGGGGTTGTTGCCGGACTTCACGTCTTAGAATTTGCGCGGGGTTGCAAGGGGTTGCGCGGCGGACATTTTGTTGCCCTAAAACCCATGAGAGGAGGCCTGTGCCCATCTGTGGGACGTATATAGGTTGTAACTTTAATTTTTAACCAATAAATACCTCTACAATGTAGAACAAAACCCCGGTAGAAGGTAATGTTTTTTTAAATTGACAAATTTCTATAGCAGTCAAAAGTGTTCAAATCAATCGACCAAGTAAAAATCATCATCGTTGGCATCATTTTATAAGACGGTAGCTCCTTATCCTGCTGGTACTGCAAAATTCTCTCTTTCCTCTTACACCAAGAGCGTATGTCGCGTAGCGGCTGTTATTTCTCCACCAAAAGTGTATCATCGGCTGTCTATTTCTATAATTAAACAGGTGTGTACCCACGGCTGTATTTGATAACTATAGTGCGTACACAGGAGTTGGCATTTCTGCCGCCAAGTAGTACAGGCTATACGGCTATGTTCCGATATGAAGGTATATACAGAGTCAGTATATTTGCAGGATGTGAGGCAATATATCTTTATCCTCAAGAGTGAAAATGTATCTGTTAGCCTTATGCGTTTGGAATCGGCTGTAGATGTCTGATCAAATATTGATCAGGCTATAGATGTCTGATCAAATATTGATCAGACATCTTTAGCCGATTGTTATTTCAGTTTTATAAAAAAAACTGTTTTATTTGTGACCATTTGAGAAAGACAACCGATATCGTGTATGTACCCTTCTCTATTTGCAGTTGGTTTCACTTATCTATAGGCTCTTTACGTTTCTGGCAGCTTAGGGAGGGTTGAAGTGGAAGGAGATGAAGATCTTTTCCTATATACTGTGACAATGTGACACAGGAATACTAGATTACCTAACTTACACACTAACTTAATTACTACTGGGCTGTCTTAACAACTATATCTTGGTTTATATACTATATTGAATATTCTTACGTGTAAAGTAAATTGTATCAGTAAATTGAGTCACACCTGTAAATACGTGCTGCTTTTTTGCTTAGCAAGCGGTAGGTGACTTCCTGATGGCACAATGTTGAATATTCTTACGTCACGTCTTGTTATTTGCTTAGCAGGCTGTGCTGTGTAGTAGGTGACTTCCTGATTGCTTGCAAGGTCTCGGTAACCATATGTAATTGGCTGCAGTAACTATTTACCATCAGGTGGACAGTAGTTTCGCTTGTCACTAATTATTTTTTAAATGTTACCAGTTGGCAAGACCCCGACTTTTTTAGAATAAGGACGACAAGGGAGCACACAGTCCACCTAATGGTTATGGTGGACGCTGTAGCCTATAGACATCTATATCTATCCTCGATTAAGAATCAAAATGCAGATGCGTTGTCACCCGTGAGGACTAAGACGGATCACCGTCTCAGGTTCTCCACACTGAGCATACGAAACACAGCAGCATTAAGTTGTCATTGAATGCTGGTATTCGGTGAAAGCGTGGTCCTTCCAGTGTCGAATGATGTGATGAATGATCCATAGCTGGAGCGTGGCTGTACCATGTAAAACATAATATATTACGACTTATTTCGTTTTTAGATAATTTTTTCGCAGGTAGTTCAAAAATTTTCTGAACTCATGATTCTCTTTGATAAATTTGTATAGAAGAGGGTATTCCTACAAATCTAGATAATTCCACGAGTTAAATACAGACAAAATACATTGCATCTATTCAGTTACAAATGTACGTAACTGTAAATTGCGTACAAGTAATATTAAGGTTTGGTAATTTAGTATAATGTAGTATAATGTGTAATATAGGTAACTAGTAATTCTTATTGATAGTCAGTCTAGGAGTAGTTCTAAATGTGGTCAGAGAATCTTTAAAATATGTAAAAATTAAACAGCATTTTTGTTTTTCTTTCAATATTTCAGGTTTCCTATTTTTTATTACTTCGAGAAAGTTTTTAGTACGGACATCCCGAGTCAATTTCATATTAGAATTTTATCTATATTGGCATTGGCAGCGTATAACAAATCCAAATCGCAGCTTTAATATGAATCTATTAACCCAATTTGCCTTATGTATAAAATCCCAGAAAAACCCAATGATCATCGATAGATATGGATTTTAGGCCTAAGATCAGCAGTGAACTTTCAATACGGTATAATGAATGCCTTCGCAGGATGTAACACACATAACTTTTATATTTTATACGTGGTAGAGCCACACTGCAGCTATATTATGTTTGCAGCACCAATGGGTCGGCTCGACCGAGGAAGGACCACGTTCTCCCAGAATACCAGCATAAAATAGCAGCTTAATACCGCTGTGTTTCGTGTGCTGAGTGTAGAGATCCTAGACCCTTTTTACTGCGAACGAGGCATTCCTTCTTAGTCCTCAGGGGTGACAACGCATATGCGTTCTTATTTTTAATAGAGGATAAATGTAGATGTCTATGGGCCACAGCATCCACTTACCATCAGGTGAACTGTGTGCTTGTTTGTCACTTTTATTCTATATAAAAAAAACTGTTATATGGCAAATTTCAAAGACATGTGAAGTTCACCAATTGGGGCAGCGCGGCGGACACTTCCTTGGCCTAAAACCCTCTCAGAAATGAGAGGAGGCCTGTGCCCAGCAGTGGGACGTATATATAGGGTTTACCTTTAACTTTTAAGTTTTAAATATTTTAATTGTATATATCTAAATTATAAATAAAAAGCACATAAATTTGGCTCATATTAATATACCTTTATTTTATTATTTATTTTTTTATTTCCGTATATCGACTCATACGCTGAAATTTTTCGTTGCCTCCATTTGACAGTTGTGCGTGGTAACAAATGGTATATAAGACAACACGCACCAACTTTCAGTGCACTTAGCCGATGACGCACGACGTGAGTATTTGCATATTAATATATTTTGTATTTGACGCCATTTTAATTAATTTGTGCAGCGTGTGGTTCTATGTGATTTCTATTTTTTCTTTGATTGTTACTTTTTAAGCCTAAAATTGTATATACATAACGAATACGTTCATGTGAACTGTTTAAACTAGTTAAAGTAACTACCGTACCACTTTTTTATGCAGTCTTTGCTTCGGTGGTAAATCATCACTGCTTAAGCGTTATATAAGCATATTCAGCCTATTTTCCGTTGTTAGTATGTACCTAAAACTAAATATTTCGTAAAATTGCTTTTTTGATTTAATCTAGTAACGAAATGGATATTATTACAATTTGGTTGACACTTTTGTATGTGAATATTTTTGAACGGAATGAAAAGGGAAATAAATAGTTACACAGTATTAGTTTTCGATGGTCAACTTATGTGTTTTTTTTTCCTTAAGAGATTAATGATGTAAAGCCTATTATTTTATTTTTATAATTGTATTATCAAATTATGTGTATGCTTCAGGCATTGTTTCGTAGAGATCTAATTTTAAACTACACCCGCTGCCATCGTAGTTTTAGTAGATTTTATCACTTTATCATGTCTATTATTGTTAATTTTAAATTAGATAATCATGTATGAATTTGTATTTACCAATAACCTTTATTAGGCCTCCCCCATACTTTGCATTTTATTTCTTTGCATGATATTTGCCATAGCTGGCACGCCAGACACGCGAGTTGGCAACCGCATTTTTTAATTCTTAAGACAAACTTTCCCGCGCCGAAAAAAAAAAAAAAAAAAAAAAATCATTTTTTAATTATTATGGTAGACTCTCCTGCCCACATCCTGGTTTATTTCCCTCAATTGTCTCTTACGACCACTACACAAATTTGTATTTAATATGTTTTACATAGTGTGTATTTAGTTTTAACTTCCACATTTTAATATTAGTTTTTTTTTCAGTGACTCAGTGCCTGAGCCTTTGACGCTCTGCTGCTGGGCAGTAAGTATTTATGCTAATGTACTCATGTTAATATCCCACCATTGGACCACCAGACCCTCAACTGGTCTATGTCCCTTTGTTGTCGACATACTACGCATTTAAACTAAACTGTTTGCTTCGTCTGTCATAATGCGTACAGCAAAGTACGCACTACTACATTATGGTTGTAGTACGAATGGGTCGGCTCGACCGGGGAAGGACCACGCTCTCACAGAATACCAGCGCGAAATAGCAGCTTGATGCTTCTGTCTCGTATGGTGAGTCGAAGAATCGAAGACTCGTTTTACTGGACTACGTTTTTACATTTCTCTCTACATATTAAACATTCCGTCTTAGAATAATTTGCGGGATTATAGTTAGTATGTACGCATTATTGTATTTGTCTTGCAGCATGTTGGTGCCCGGCAGCAGAGCGCTGGGTGACGTCGTCTGCACCGCCCGGCGCAACCCTGCCGCCGCTCCGGGAGAGCAGTCCGCAGACACCGCGCCGTAGTTTTAAGTTTTGTAAGTAACTTTTACGTGATAAAGCCATGCTGCAGCTATATTATAAATGTAGCATGAACGGATCGGCTTGACTGGAGGAGGACAACGCTCTCACAGAATACCAGCGTAAAATAGCAGCTAAATACTTCTGTGTTTTTCGTATGGCGAGTGTACAGATCCGGAGACCCTTTTTTACTGGAAACGAGGCATTCCATCTTCGTCCTCAGGGATGACAACGCATCTGCGTTTGGATTCTTAATCGAGGTTAAATGTAGATGTCTATGGGCCACAGCATCCACTTACCATTAGGTGGACTGTGTGCTCGTTTGTCACCCTTATTCTATGTTTAAAGTACTGTCTTTCCCACCGATTATAACGTGGATGTGTGCAAGGCAAGAGCGAATAGGCTTTTGTTAATGTCTGTGAACTTTACTATCTTCGGCTACTATCATCTCAGCTATTAAGTTTTTCTGGCAATAAATTCTGAGTAGCAACCCAGAGTCCGGAAGTTAACGATGTTTCACCCCCGAGCATCGAAAACCACGTAAACCGTATCTCCTCTCCGGTCGTGTCGGATAACTGTCCCATCGGACTAGAATGAGGGAATAAAGTGCACATGTGCTTGGGCGTACACTCGAATTCACAATCATATCCTGCGCAATTATAATTTTAATCCTTACATTTCTGTGCGTGGCTTAACAAATCTCGACCATTAATTTTGTGTTAGATTCGTCTACTAACCCACCCTCGCCAACGTGACTCATTTCCAATAAGATAGAAAGCAGGGTCCCAACCTAATCAGTTCCTGTAACAACCAACTTGTTTTGTTTGTACACCCCAACTGGGATTTGGAGCCAGGACCCGACGGGGCTATGTCTAGGGTATGCTGTTATTTCTTCTTCTTGCTGCCCTTATCCTAAGTTATTTGCGATCAGCATAGCATTTCTTCCACTTCCATTCTCCTCTCTTAGCCGTCATCTCCTCACTTACTCCTTTATTACGCAGCTGACACAGTCCATCCATCTTTACATACGTCTCTCTCTACTCATTAATCATTCCGTCTTAGAATAATTTTCGTAATTATTATTATTATGTGCGCATATTGGGTTTCTTCTGCAGCATTTTTGGAGCCCGGTAGAAGAGTGCTGGGTGTAAACTGCATCGCCCAAGCGCGATCCTGCCGTCGCTCTCAGAGAGCAGTCTGCAGACTGCCCGCCGTAGTCTTAAGTTTTTTTCTTTGTAAGTAACTTTTTACGTGCTAAAGCCATACTGCAGCTTTATTATAATTGTAACACGAACTGATTGGCTCTACCGGAGAAGGACAAGGCTCTCACAAAATACCAGCGTAATAATAGCATATTTAATATGGTGTTTTCGTATGGTGTGTGTAAGAGAAGCAGGCACTATTTATTGAATGCGAAGCATTTCCTATTCCTCACGGGTGACAAAGCACGTGCATTTTGATTCGTAATTGAGAATAGATGTCTATAGGCCACAGCATCCACTTACCATCAGGTGGACTGTATGCTCATTTGTCACCCTTATTATATAAAACAAAGCTTAGTTTATATTAAAAGCGTAAATGACGAATCTCGAGTAATTGAGTGCAGTCTCAGCCTCCGCTTTCGGCGAGCAGGCTACAGACACTGTTTTAAGTTCGCACTATTTTTATTGAGGTGAACTGTATGATATATGTATGTATATAATGAAATTTTATATACTTTTCACCAATTTACGATAGAATAATTAGAAATTTTACAGATATATCAAGTGTCAAAGGCTATACATTAATTTCATGTCTATGACCTTGTTATTTTTTATCTTTTGTAAAAATATTAGCCTCACACTGGGGTTCACTGGGGGGTCTATTTCAAAGAGCAGCCAAATTTTAAACTTATGTTCTAATATATAAGTAATGATATACCGATATTACAGTTTTTGAAAATACGAATAACCAAAGCTTCTACTTTTATTAGAAATTATCCCATATTGGATGTGATTCATGTGCAACAACATTTTTACCTACCGATGCGATGGACCGTTACGAATATGTTTGTGCGCTGGTATGCGTAATAAAATCAGTCAAAATAATGAATTACCACGCATTTTGAATTTAAAAAAGACAGAACGTTAGATATTTTTTTAATTAATTTTTCTTCCCCATTTGCCTATATTACTTTTTCTGAAGCTTCTCTGCAAACATTATGTACTTCTCAGTGTAGTGAATTTATAAGAATATTTACTATCCCATAACTTCCTGTGCGTGGCGTAATAGGCGACAAAGGGAAGCTCGACAAGAGAGCAGCAGCGTCTTCCTAGACCACTAAAGCGGCGGCTTCCCGCTGGCATACCAAGAGTGGCAAGTATAGCAAATATGAGGTAATCTGTGGAAAGACCTATGTTCATCAGTTGACTTCTGATAGGATGTAACTGTGACGGTGAACGGTATATTGAAATTTAAGTAGATTTAAAACAGTTCACCTGGTGGTAAATGGATGCTGTGGCCGCAATCAAATTTAGAGTTCAACCGTATGGTATTGAAAACACTAAAGCCAAACTAATCACTACTATCATTAAGATTAGGGTATGATGGGGCTGATATATCCTTTCGGGATAAAAGCCCCTTAATAACCAAACCGTCTAATTAATGTCTTTTTTTTATTTCAGATACATTGGATTACAATTGCTTAAAACGATAATTTTGTAGAGACTAACGTTACATATTAATTACATGCAAACTGAGTAGATAATCAAGAATTCACTTAAGAAGAATACAATCACTTAGTGGATCAGATAAACGTGTAAACTCGTTCATCAATATCCGAAGTTTGAACTTCGGAACGTACCCTCATCCGAAGGTTGAACATCGGAACGTTCCATTATCCGAAGTTGAACTTTGCTATATTCCAATATCCGAAGTTGAGCTTCGGCTTGTTGTAGAATCAAAAAATGCTGTGCCTTATCCCAAAAACGTTTTTTCCGTTACTTAGTTTAGTGTCACTGTGGGAATCACGATATTTTGAATTATGCTTTTAGTTTAGCGATAATAGATTAAGGTTCATCTAGTGTTAAGCGAAATAAGTTTTTGTTTTTGTTACATCCAGTCAGTTAAGTCCAGGTTAATGAGCGAAACCAGTATTTAAATTTATATTTTTGACCTTACCATTTGATGTGTTTAGTTGTTACAAGTGCAACTTAGGGTTAAGTGATGTTTTTCAATTTTTATTTTACTATATAGATATTTGTTACATTTTGTTTAGTTATAAGATTGTTTAAAAATGTGTTTTGCTTAGTTTTTAATACATATTTTCTTACTTAAAGTTTTTGTTTTATTGAGAGCATTATATTGTAACAAAAGTTTCAACTTCCACCGTGTAACGGGAGCCACGACTTTATAATAATAACTTACTCATGACCGAATTTCAGCACGGGTGTGCAATACCGCCAAGTTCCTGATTTAAAGCTGCTAATAAAATTTCTCGGCAGAAAAGCTCAATAACTGATTTTTGCTGGCCCGACCTGGGATTCGAACCCATGACCTACACCCACCCCATCACCTACGAGGCCACTACCCGATATCCCGTAAGTGTCGTAAAAGATCACATTTGACACCTCTTACAGGAAAATGAATAAGGAGATGGACCGCAGTATCATCCTGATAACAATACATAATAACAAAAAAACTGCGCCTGCTAAACCTGCCAAGTCTGCCAAGCGTGACTACTACGGCAAAAAACTACTATTAAACTATATTAAATCTATCCTTCCTAGAAATGCCAGATCGAAAGACTAAAATATCTGGAGAACATTTGAACATGTCGGGATTTGGGGGTTGTTGTCGTGAGAAATAAATATTAAATGTGAAATAAAAATAAGTTATTGGTAAAAATACAACTCATTTATGTTGCCACCAGTACTTGGCATTGGACTTTACCGAGTCCACCAATTTAGAACCTAGAAGTATTCAGAAAAGATTTAAAATTCAAAAAATTTACTTCGAATTCTAGTCAATTAATAACTCAGCCTTTACATAATGATTTCTTATATTTACGCGAACACTATACATGATTAAAACTACTTTTACGGATTTTATCGCATTTATTTTTACTTTTTATTTACTTTTATTTTTAATTCCCGACGTTTCGGGCGCTTTCCAGCACCCATGGTCACGGGGGACTGAGATGACTGACGTCCCGATATCATTGTTAAACCCGGAGTACCTTCAGCTTTTTTAATTATTGTTTATGGTCCGATCTATGCAAAATTAACTGACTATGTCCTGAGGTCTTGCAGTGGTATGCTTGGGTTTAGTTTTAATTTTATTGATTATAGGATCCCAAGCAGGTGGTAGTACCCAGCCTCCTTCTCTATTGAAATTAGGATGTTTTTTAATTTCAATAGCCTCACGTATCATCCTTGGTAGGAATCGGTGTTCTTTCGCGAGGATTTGTGGTCTATCAAATCTGATGTAATGGTTGGGTCCGTCTAGGATATGATCACAAACTGCAGACTTCCCGGAACGTTGATGCTTCACATCAGCTATATGTTCTTTTACGCGGGTCCTAATTGATCTTTTTGTTTGTCCTATATAAGAGAGACCACATTCACAATCAAGCTTGTACACTCCTGCATCTTGTAGAGGAATATGACACTTGACGGATGGTAGGAACTGACTAATCTTCTTCGGCGGCTTGTAGAATGTTCTAATAGAAGCTCGCTTCAAGATATAGCCAATCTTGTCTGTGACACCTCTGACGTACGGTAGTACAGCAGGCACACGCTCGACTGTGGCCGGCTTCACTCGGTCACTGTGACGTAGGCGCGGGACCCGAAGCTTGTTGTCGTGCAGAACTTGCTTGACGTGCTGAAGTTCGGCGGCCAGGTTTTTGCTGTCACAGATCCCTCGTGCTCTCTGTAACAAAGATTTGCCCGCGGTAGCTAACTGTGAAGGATGGTGGTGAGATTCACCGTTTAAATATCGGTTTGTATGGGTCCTTTTCCTATACACAGTGCGACCAATGGTGTTATTAGGATTTCGGATGACTAACACATCTAGGAAAGGTAAGGAATTATTTGCCTCTAACTCCATAGTAAATTGAATTTTAGAGTTTATGGAATTAAGATGTTCTAAAAATGCAGTTACTTTGTCTGATGGTAAAATTGTGAAAGTATCGTCTACGTACCGCTTGTAGATCCTTGGTGTAACAGGTGCAGTAAGAAGAGCTTTCTCCTCAAAGTCTTCCATGAATATATCGGCGACAATGGGAGATAAAGGTGAGCCCATCGCAACACCATCTACTTGCTTGTAAAAACTCTTCCTTCCACAATAGATAGCCAGATGTAAGGCAATGTCTTAGTAATACTGCATATTCTGCTGGCATGTTATTTTCCTCTAGTGTCCTAGTCATAATTGAGATGCAGACTTCAACAGGTAGGCATGTAAATAGAGACTGAACATCAAAACTGACCATGGTTTCATTGTCAGTAAGATTTAGGTCTTTTATCTCACTGACAAAATGGTATGAATCCTTAGTGTGTGCTCTTGTGTGTCCTCTGAGTGGTGATAATATTTTAGCTAAGTATTGAGCCAATCTGTAAGTTGGCGAATTAATCTGACTCACTATTAGACGTAATGGAGCATTCGGTTTGTGTATCTTTGATAACCCATACAACTTCGGTGGTTTGGTACATGAAGGTATTATCGAATTAACGTTCAGATTCAATTTTAATTAGATCGCTATTTGTTTTAAGCGTATTAGTTGTAGGGTCTGTTTTGACCTTTCGATAAGTAGTTTCATCCGACAAAAGTTGTTGTATTTTAAAATTGTAATCTGACGTATCCATTATAACCGTAGAATTACCTTTATCTGCGCGGAGAATCGTAAGCTCTGTTCTGTTGCGTAAGTTTTTCAACGCGTTAAATTCATTTTTGGAAAGATTTAATTTCGGCGCTGAACTTCGACGTAACATAGACGAGATGTCTTGACGTATGGCCTCTAAATCTTCATTACCAATATTATTTTTATACTCATGGAATATATATTCATGAAAGACTTTAAGGAGAAAGCTCTCCTTACTGCACCTGTTACACCAAGGATCTACAAGCGGTACGTAGATGATACTTTCACAATTTTACCATCAGACAAAGTAACTGCATTTTTAGAACATCTTAATTCCATAAACTCCAAAATTCAAGTTACTATGGAGTTAGAGGCAAATAATTCCTTACCTTTCCTAGATGCGTTAGTCATCCGAAATCCTAATAACACCATTGGTCACACTTTGTATAGGAAAAGAACCCATACAAACCGATATTTAAACGGTGAATCTCACCATCATCCTTCACAGTTAGCTACCGTGGGCAAATCTTTGTTACAGAAAGCACGAGGGATCTGTGACAGCAAACACCTGGCCGCCGAGCTTCAGCACGTCAAGCAAGTTCTGCACGACAACAACCTTCGGGTCCCGCGCCTACGCTACAGTGACCGAGTGAAGCCGGCCACAGTCGAGCGTGTGCCTGCTGTACTACCATATGTCAGAGGTGTCACAGACAAGATTGGCTATATCTTGAAGCGAGCTTCTATTAGAACATTCTACAAGCCGCCGAAGAAGATTAGTCAGTTCCTACCATCCGTCAAGTGTCATATTCCTCTACAAGATGCAGGAGTGTACAAGCTTGATTGTGAATGTGGTCTCTCTTATATAGGACAAACAAAAAGATCAATTAGGACCCGCGTAAAAGAACATATAGCTGATGTGAAGCATCAACGTTCCGGGAAGTCTGCAGTTTGTGATCATATCCTAGACGGACCCAACCATTACATCAGATTTGATAGACCACAAATCCTCGCGAAAGAACACCGATTCCTACCAAGGATGATACGTGAGGCTATTGAAATTAAAAAACATCCTAATTTCAATAGAGAAGGAGGCTGGGTACTACCACCTGCTTGGGATCCTATAATCAATAAAATTAAAACTAAACCCAAGCATACCACTGCAAGACCTCAGGACATAGTCAGTTAATTTTGCATAGATCGGACCATAAACAATAATTAAAAAAGCTGAAGGTACTCCGGGTTTAACAATGACATCGGGACGTCAGTCATCTCAGTCCCCCCGTGACCATGGGTGACCATGGAAAGCGCCCGAAACGTCGGGAATTAAAAATAAAAGTAAATAAAAAGTAAAAATAAACGCGATAAAATCCGTAAAAGTAGTTTTAATCAACTCAGCCTTTATTTAATCAAAGGCAGCTGTGATGTGAAGAGAAGCTGTTTGGAGATTTAGTTTTGTCGGGAGTCTGGAGATCATGTAAAATGACGGAAGAATCTAGACGAATTCCGACCAACTAGCAACCCAATTTGGCATGTCCAATATATTGAAAGGGGGATGCCCATTTTCGGCCATGGAACGCCCAACAATGTGCATTTGTTAAAAAAAATATATCTTTATTTATGGTTATTAATCGCGGTATTCATTTATCCTAAAAAGATGGGAATATTTTTGCACAAATTAAAAGTACCGAAAAGATAAGAATAAAATTAGGTAAATCATTAATTCAGTTAGTTATTAGTTTGTGAATAAAATAAAAAGTGTTGCCAATCACAAATCTCATTAAAAAATCGATTCCCCTTTTTGATCGAATACTTATGGTGTCATTATTACAATGCTAATATAATTTTTCGATAATTATTAT